TATATATATATATATATATATGCACTAATTAGATATTATATTTCTGCGCCAAGCAATGCGAAATAAATAAGAAATATACAGAATGTCCTATTTTAGCGTTTTTTTACTTTACAGAAAATTGTGTTAATCGTAAAATGTTTTCTTTTGTCGATTTCTCTCGATATATTCTATTTTTTTCACTGCGTCTACTTTTCGAAATATCCATTCATTTATATTTATATTTATAAACTAAAATGGGACAATTTGTGCGTATAAGATGATTATATACGTTTAAGAGAAAATATATGCCTGAAAATATATGTATCGTTTATATATGATTGGATACGATGCACATTGTTTTTAAAATCCAATTAGTTTATCAAAGTATATTGTAAAGTATTAAGAGAATGTGTGTGTGTGAGAGAGAGAGAGAGAGAGAGAAAGAGAGAGAGAGACAAGCACGTTTTTTTATATAATCTGTACGTCTTTTTTTAATTCGCGTATGCGTTCTTCACCGCAAAAACGCATTTTTAACTTATGTTTTACTAGTGCATCTACATGTACACATGTATATCCATTGATAAATTTTTCAACGTGCCTTTATCTATTGGTTGATTTATGATGTCGAGTGCAACCATTCACTCGACTTAAACGCGAATCGCGTTATTCGAGTATAAATATAAGATCACGACTCTGATCTTTTTATATCATTTGTTAATAACTATTTGTCAATAAACTACTATCATGCCTTGCACGTAAAATATTATACTTTTCTTAAATACGAACAGATCATTTTCTGTATCCATTTTTCCGTATCCATTTTTCCCGTATGATTGTAAATAGTTATAAGTAAATGATGCCTTATAACGACTAGTGATGTATTATTTGTAAGACTGATTTTTACTACGCTGAAGAAACGCACACATGCACAGACAAATAATACGCGCGCCTATATATGCGCGTATATACATATTTATGCATATATAAGTACATATATATATATATATATATATATATATATATATATATATATATATATATATATATATATATATATATATATATATATATATATATATATATATATATATATATATATATATATATATATATATATATATATATATATATATATATATATATGTATGTGTGTGTGTGTATATATAATATATATGTATTTTGTATGCATGTATATGTTGACACTTTCTGCCACAAAATGTATGTTATCAATAATATTGTGCAAGCTTGTTATGAAATAAACTATATAATCTTATATACCGTTGTTATCCATTGTCAGCTTGATCAATTCCGCTGATTAAGTTTACCTTAATTAGGGTATGCATGGTGTGCGTATTGAGTTTGGTAGCGTATCCTCGTAATACCGATCGTTTCGTATACATGTAATGCGTACGTGAATATGTGCGTGTGTATGCGGTGCGTGCAACGGATGGATTACGGAAGTTTGAGCCCCTAGCTGCAATATATAATACTAATAAGATAATCCTTATATAGGATAATTTCATTACTTTTTTCTTATAATTAATAGTAAAATAAAGTAAACATTATCTTTTTTTTTTGTAGAGAGATACACGTAATGCATATATGTTTGCATATATTCTTGTATTTTTCTTATACTAATATTAAAGTTCAATGAAAGAAGAAAATAAAATGTTTATCAAGCACAAAAGATGTTAATATATATCGCAATAAAATTATTTTTAGGATAATAATAGTGTCTACAGGATTAAGTAAAACGAATATAAAATAAACGAGAACACGTATACGATCGACAAAATTTTACAAATAATTAAATAATAACTAATAATTAATAATAACTTTATAATTTTACAAAGAACTTAAACCAAATGAGAGAAAGGGAGAAAGTTTTGATCACATCTTTCAAACGGATTCGATGAAATTTAAATGACGATGAGATTCACGTGGTAGTCGCGTAGGTCCGCGGAATCATCGGGTTTTCGATAGCGATTCTCGCGGTACACGGTAATGAAATGGAGACGGCAGCAGAAGAGAAGGGAGAGAGAGAGAGAGAGAGGAGAGAGAGAGAGAGAGAGAGTACGTTCCGCTAATAAGCCTCATTCCTCGATACGCGCGCGGAGAGAATAATTATGGGCTTGCGCAGTTCGCGTCTTCGGACGATGGCGGGGCCAAGAGGAGGGAAAGAAGAGGTGGATTGCGAGAGGCTGACTTCGAGGGGTGATAAAGTCCCGAGCCCAGCCGGCGCCATTTTTCCCGTATGATTGTAAATAGTTATAAGTAAATGATGCCTTATAACGACTAGTGATGTATTATTTGTAAGACTGATTTTTACTACGCTGAAGAAACGCACACATGCACAGACAAATAATACGCGCGCCTATATATGCGCGTATATACATATTTATGCATATATAAGTACATATATATATCTATATAATCTTATATACCGTTGTTATCCATTGTCAGCTTGATCAATTCCGCTGATTAAGTTTACCTTAATTAGGGTATGCATGGTGTGCGTATTGAGTTTGGTAGCGTATCCTCGTAATACCGATCGTTTCGTATACATGTAATGCGTACGTGAATATGTGCGTGTGTATGCGGTGCGTGCAACGGATGGATTACGGAAGTTTGAGCCCCTAGCTGCAATATATAATACTAATAAGATAATCCTTATATAGGATAATTTCATTACTTTTTTCTTATAATTAATAGTAAAATAAAGTAAACATTATCTTTTTTTTTTGTAGAGAGATACACGTAATGCATATATGTTTGCATATATTCTTGTATTTTTCTTATACTAATATTAAAGTTCAATGAAAGAAGAAAATAAAATGTTTATCAAGCACAAAAGATGTTAATATATATCGCAATAAAATTATTTTTAGGATAATAATAGTGTCTACAGGATTAAGTAAAACGAATATAAAATAAACGAGAACACGTATACGATCGACAAAATTTTACAAATAATTAAATAATAACTAATAATTAATAATAACTTTATAATTTTACAAAGAACTTAAACCAAATGAGAGAAAGGGAGAAAGTTTTGATCACATCTTTCAAACGGATTCGATGAAATTTAAATGACGATGAGATTCACGTGGTAGTCGCGTAGGTCCGCGGAATCATCGGGTTTTCGATAGCGATTCTCGCGGTACACGGTAATGAAATGGAGACGGCAGCAGAAGAGAAGGGAGAGAGAGAGAGAGAGAGGAGAGAGAGAGAGAGAGAGAGTACGTTCCGCTAATAAGCCTCATTCCTCGATACGCGCGCGGAGAGAATAATTATGGGCTTGCGCAGTTCGCGTCTTCGGACGATGGCGGGGCCAAGAGGAGGGAAAGAAGAGGTGGATTGCGAGAGGCTGACTTCGAGGGGTGATAAAGTCCCGAGCCCAGCCGGCGAATACGGCCGCGCGGATACCAAATTTCCGCTCCGTCCGCTCATCCGCTCGTCGTCGACGTCGATTCGCAGATTCAGCGTTCTCGCGTTCCTCATCGCGCGCGATAAGAGAGATAAAGAGAATCGGGCGAGTTTCTCGCAAAGTGCATTGTCCGCGCGACAGCCAGATCTGCACGCAACGTGCGTCACGCGTGCGTGCGTGCGTGCGCGCGGAGAGAAAGTGCGTGTCTCCTCTCCCGAGAGGAGCACATCGGGGGGGAAAAAACAGCAGCGGTTTCGGTGGTGTGCTATACGTGTCGACGACACTCTCCCCATCGGTTGATGGCCTCGTTTCGTTTCTAGAGGGATGCATATATACATATATATATTGTAATATATATATAATATATATATATATACGTTGCCCACATCGCCTCGCGTGACATTCTCACCCCGGATATGCCGAGGCATGCGCCGTAAAAATCCCGGGATTGATGTATCACAGGACGCAGGTACGCAGCATCATGCAGCGGTTATGCACATCTCTCGCGCGCGTGCATTTGCATGTGTTTCGCGCGCGCGATTTAGAGGTTGTCATTGCACGCGCCTGTCGTATGGTCACCCGGTAGGGTTCGGCGCTTCGAGGTCTAGATTATACCGATATTTCTTACTAAATAAATGGCATGTTACACATTATTAGATTAATTCAAAGCATATAGTTTCAAAGATTTTTTAATTTTAATGTTAATGTGAGATATACGAACATTTAAATATAATATATCCGATTGTAAAATACCTCGCAATCTAGTGAGTCTAGCGAATGTTGAAAGATATATGTTAAAATCTACTTGTCGCGTAGCGCTCAAATAAATTTATAGGACAGTTATTACTTAAACTGTATATTTTTTTTTAGATTTGCATTTACTACCTGCTATGCATAGCAGCAGTGGACTTGACGTTTACCTCCGATTCGGAGATTACCACGACGAAAAATCGGGACTGCCCACCAGAATGCATTTGCCTCTCTCCAAAACAAGTAATAAAATCAAGAAAAATCTCTTGTAGTTTACATATATGCATAAATATTTTGTTTATCGCGTAAACGTTTTATGAGAAATAAAATATATATTATTGTTCCTTCTATAATATTTTATTAACGACAATCATAATAATATTGATATTTTTAATATTATTTAATATCTTTATGTGTGTGAATCTAGGTACTCTGCAATACAGGCGGTCTCGAGGACATACCGACACACCAGCTGCCGGAGACCGTGGAGGAGCTATCGCTGACGAAGAACGACTTCCCGATAATAAAAGGCGACGCGTTCGCTGGTCTCCGGTCGCTGCGTAAGCTCACTCTGGATGGTAACAATATTTCGACTATACGGCCGTTCGCGTTTCGCGGTTTAAATCGATTGCGTGAGCTGTCAATTCAGCATACCCCGTTACCCTGCATCGAGAAGTTTTCGTTCGCTACGCTACAGAATATCTCGTACCTGCTGCTGGCCAATAACAAGATCCGTTACGTCGAGGGCTACTCATTCGCCGGCGCATCCAACGTGAATCTGATCCTGCTGAGCTACAACCCGCTGCTGACCATCCATAGCCACGCGTTTGCCGGCCTTACCAACGTCAATAATCTCATCTTTCCGTCCGGCATCCGCCTAATCGAAGAGAACGCCTTCGACGGCCTGCAGCACGTCGGTCTGCTCAAGCTCAGCTACATGGACTTATCAGGATTGCAGGCCAATACCTTCTACGGTCTGTCACACGTGCACTCGATTAACATTCAGGAGAGCGATCTGGGTGTCGTGCAGAGGGATGCATTCGCCGGCCTCGCACACGTGGGTTACCTCAACATACTCAACAATAAAGTGGATTTGATCCAGCGTATGCATCTGCGCTATGAAAACTACATCGAGATGCTGCGCTTCCACGGTAATCATGTGCTAGAAGCACCACGTCACGCCAGGGACGTCGTCCTCGAGGTAAACACGATCAGTGCGATTGACAATCACTTCCCATGTGACTGCCAGGCGCACAACGTCCTAGAAAGCGATTTCGCTCGCGGCGACAGCGCCGGATTTCAGCGCCGAAACTATTGCATCTCGCCATTCGAGTACAACGGCAAGCCCATGAACGTCGTCGACTTCGAGCTCGTCGCCCGGTGCCACGACAACGTGATTCAGGACAACCTGGGCTCGGGCGTCGTCGGGCTATCATCTCTATCAGCGGTTACGTTGCTGATCGCCTTTTTGTTCTCGATGAATCTCTTGCGATGAGCATCGTTCTTCAGTCGATTCTTCTTCAACGATCGTCTCAAACATCTTACTTTTAGATGCTCAAAGCAATAATAAAAAAAGGGCCAGATTTTTATGCGCGCGCTTATTGGCTTGTCAAAAAATTCTCCATGCCTTCGTTCTCGTGCAGCAAGAGTCTTCGTGTAGTCTGGTAAAGTTGCCGAAGCAAAAAGGTATCTCGCACGAATTATGTTGAATGTATCATTATCGCTGTAGATTATTGTACCAATCTTCTATCGATATAATACATTTTCGAAAGGGGCTGTACTATATATATCGCACTAGAATGCAAAAGAGATAGCTTGCAATTCGGTTAGATTAATCTGTGAAAGACAAAGCTACGCGAATTTTAGTTAGGTCTATAAAATTATGATTGATGATTAAAATTTCGTTCTATAGTACGTCAAACTGTGAATTTATAATTAATTAAAATAACAAATCGCATGAAATTATATACATATATATAAAGTTAATTTTTAAAGTTTTTATAAATTAATTTTTCTTATGTTAAAAACAGAAATGATCTAATTATGTACAGAATTTCTCTTTCTATTGTCTTTTAACTTATCGCAGTATCTCTTGATATTGAAAATTCTTTTAAATTTTAAGAAAAAAATTAGAGAACGGAAAATGTATTTTATTTTGGAAAAGTCAAATCAATATTGTATCTCGACAAAAATAATCAGGGACAGTAAATACGAGTTTTTCACAGATTACCATGGTATGATAATTAATCGTTAATCGAAAAAACATATCGCTATTGCGGAGATATGAATTCAGAACGGCAAAAAAAGAAAAGCAACAGTGAATAAAGCTAACTATCCTCTCGTAACATGTATTCACATTATTTATCGTTCTCGATAATATCGAAATGAATATATGCATATCTAACAACAGTTCATTTACACGAAAAGCAACTGCCATGGATACATATATCCTTTTGCACATATGAAAGTGAACAAACGTGATCTTACATATTGTTTAATTGTTGAAAAAAATATTTCTTTACTCTCGTTATTTCGTATAATGTTTAAGAGAATTGAAAAGTGTAATTCTGTTATATTTATCTATTATATCCAAAGTATGTGTGTGGGTTGTGTAGTGTTAAGTTATTATTATTTATGAATAGAATTTTATACTATTATACACTGTTATACATACTGCGTTTAACTGTACATAATACGATGAGTTATTTAAACTGTTATAAGTCGCTATTTTATACAATAGTGCAATTTTGATGCTAAACGCGATCTCTCATCTTATCGGCTGTATCGCGAATGCCATTTTTTATGAAATATATTAATACTTAAAAAAAGAGTATTCGATTAGGCATTCAATGTATAACGATAACACAGACCTACGTATACGTTAGCAATACGTTTCCGATCAATCGAAACGATTGGTAATTCACGTGAATTCACGATCGTCAATCGCGGATACATTTATTATGAGATAATATGTCACACGCGAGCTTTAACTGGCCGGCCGGTATACTGGACCAACATTACCGCATACTTGATTGAAGTTTATTTGAAACTTCGACTTTTGGATAGACATCGTAATAAATGACACGTTATTCGGGATATAGAAACGGAAAAAAGGCGAAAGTAACGCTTTTAGATCCGCTAAAAAGAGAAAAAGGAAAGTCTTTCTCTGATATTACTCAATTTTTTTATAATTATCAGGCGCAATTATTTCATAATTTATATACATATTAGTTACTGTATAATGTAGTTTTGCATTGTAAAGCATTTTTTACGTAAAAATATAATATTAATGAGCTAGGTAATATTTTGGAAAGAGATAATCTTGTAGGCCTACTACAAATCTTACTTCCGGGTCCAGGAATCCGAGCTATGATCCCGTACGTTCACAACTACTATTTCAATTCTACTAATAGACTACGGAATTATTAAGATGATTCGAAAATGATGAAAGTATCTAGCGATTAAGTATATATATTTAATTGCGTTGATGTCTAAGATCTTTAGAGAACGCTCAAAATATTAGGATTCCTACAAAAAAAAAGAAAAAAATACGCGGTTTAAAAGAAATTTGTCGACAGAGATTTATCTGCTTATTATTTATTCATTTATTATTTATTTATGCGAAATCTCTGTTCCTTATCTAATAATCAGATATTAATTTTAAACTAATTTTAAAATAATTTTTCTATGCAAAATAGATTTTAAAAAAGCAATGTCTCTAAAATTTTGCATAAAGATGGAATATCTAAATTCTTACTTAACAATTAAATTTTCAAGCGATGTGTTTGTCAATTCTTTTAATTCGTGTATTATTTGTAGGAATACAACATATTTTAGAACCAAAAATGGATAAGAATGTATTATGCTCAACACTTTAGACTACTTTAGAATAACAATTTATCTTATGGGTTTTCTTTTGTAACGTATGTGTATGCCTATAAAAATCGATCGTAATCTCGAAGCGAAAGATCTTCATTAATATGGAATTCTGCTAAAATTTTACTTACATTATCAATTTTATCGGCATTAATATAGAAAAGCTGCTCGCGAAAAAATTTGCTTTCGTCAAAGTCAAAATCATTAATTAGACAAAGCATTAACTTTTAAATAATCACGAAATACGAAACATTTTCAAATTACATTTGATACTGTGAACGATTGTATGCACGATTTGTATTAAAAAAAAAAGTTTACTGTGCCAACGTTATGTATTTACTTCGCGTAAATACTTGGATGTAGAAGAGAAAGATATATATAAGTACTAAATAGAAAATCTCTCTTAAACGATATATCCTGCAGAATGTTTTGTTCTTGTAATCAAGTTTGTGAAAAAAGTACTGCTTCATAGATGAAAATACATTGGCGTCCAAAGGCTATAAATATATATATACATATATCATGGACTGAATCAGAGTTATACAGTAATGCTATATGCTTATAATAAAAAAAAATTATATAAAGCGTATTTCGCTGCCATTTATAATGGAAGATTTGCTTGGCCTTCGGTCAGCATAATAACCGAGGACCAACTTAGCTTATATTTTTTACCAATGTTTAAAATAGCATTTAATAGATACGATTATATTGTAATCTTTCATTGTAGTTAGCATGTCCTGTCATATAATAAATGGAATGAAATATTAACATACAGCCTTGTACGATTTCTATAAGTTCCAGAAACATTTTTTATTAATTTGGCTTTTAGCATTACTGAATTGCATAGATATTGTAGAAGATTCGATAAAATGAGACTAATATTATATACTTAAAATTGAAACTCAGCTGGAACATAAAAGTATTTAAATAATTTAATATATATTTAATCAACTCACTTGACACAGTAAGAGTACATATTTCGTTCTATTATTATTTTAACCTAGCACATTTTTCAGATGTTTAATAAACTGCAACAGTTGGTGGATCCGGAACAGGATCAAACTCGCCAACACTTTCCATATATTGAGGGTCTCTACGCCATGGCTTCAACTCCCAGTGCATTCGTGATTCCATTGTCGTTAATGCAATACCAAGATCTTCTAGAGTTGGCAATTCTTTTGATACTTTATCAGATATGGCTTCCTATAAAGAGAGTGATATTAAATTATTAAATAATACCATTTAGTGTTTATGTGTCATATATTAGCACATTTACACTTATAATGTTATAATAAGATTGAAACATACTCTTTCCAAAAGATCCCACTGTACATATCCTAGGGGATATGCGGGGCTTAGGAATTCATTCAAAGTAATTTTAAGTTTGAAAAATGGAGCATATTTTAAATCTATTCTCTGGTAGCCATAGTCTGCTGGATTGTGCATTCGTATTCGATTAAACCAGTCAAGTAACTCAGAAAATTTATAACGCTTTGGCCTGTGTGCAAAATATAATATCACAACATTTTACAAAAAACAATAAGATTTAATGTGATATAATATTATATGATAAACGCGCTATATTTACCCAACAAACTGATAAGTCTTGCCAGCAGTGTTTTTAGGATCTTTTGCAATAGCTGTAATACCTCCAGCAACATCATATACAGCCACTGGTTGTTTTTCTGTGGCTTCACCCTTTTTCCATATCGGTAAAGTTCTGCAAGATAAAATTATCAAATCTTAGAATAATTGTAGCTTATATTATGCTGGAAGATTTATTTCCACATAAATTATATACCTCAAGTGATGTCTCATTATACCAGAATAGACACGCAAAAATCGGTCTTCTTGACCCCATATATCTGATGGTCGAATAATTGTAGCCTCGGGAAATTCTTCTCTCACTGCACATTCACCTTCCAATTTCGTACGAAGAAATTGAGATCCATCTTCCAAAACATATGACTAATATAAAAGGAAAGATCAGAAAAAAAAATTAAACATTAAGTTCTATTCATGTAGCGTAAAGATATCTATTTTACCTCTTTGTTGTCCACGTTTAAAGCTGATACATGAATGAAATGTTCCACATTAGCTTCCTTGCACAGTCTAGCGAGCCTTCTGGCTCCTTCAACATGTACTTCATGATAGGTAAAATTTTTAGTCTCCCAATTTCGCCCAATTAGATTAATAACAACATTGGAATACTTGATGCATTTTCTTATCGAATCCTCGTCACGCAGATGAAATGGATGAAACAAAACTTGCCCGAGATCTCCGCATAGTTTCAGAGGCAAACATCTGTACATGTCACATCTGTATGGCAATATTAGCTGCAAATCAATCGAGAAGCTAACTGAGCTATAATTAATTGTGTGTCATTACAATGATACAAGTGTGATCCTGTTTTTATATTTTATTATATTATTATATGTACCTGTGTGCCAATCTTGCCAAGACGATTGCACACATAGCGTCCAACAAATCCAGATGAACCAAACACTGTGCACACTAGCCCATTGAAAGAACTACGACCACCTGTACCTCTCTGTAAGGAAGCGGTAGTGGGATGTTTTATGATTCGTGGTTCCGATGAATAATGATTCGTCTGCAACGCAACGACCGCAGTGCATGTTGTCTGCTTCTCTGAGATAAACACGACAAATATAAACTGTTAGTTATGTAATTGAAACAATGGGTTATATATATAAATATGAACAAGACAAAATTGTTGGTGATTTTTTTCATAAAGTGTGTTTATATAATTCAATCTTTAAGAAAAAGCTAAATCATATTACCACAAAAAACATTAAATAAATGACATTTACTTGCTGCTTGTAGAGTGTATCTCGGAATCAAGGCGGCCATCTTTGTCGGCCATTATCAGCTGTCCATACTGCTATCTACTATCTAAACCCGTCGACATATAGAATGGACTGCTGATGGCAGTGGAAGGGGTAACCGCACGAGTAAAGAGGCAGATAATATAAGATCACTTCCGTCTCTTTTTAATAAAGCCTGATTGGTTGGCAAAAAATCAGCAACACTGCTGATCCATATATCTATGTTCTGAACGCTGATGGCAGTGGAAGGGGTAACCGCACGAGTAGAGTGAGAAGCAGATAATATGAGGTTACTTCCGTCTTTTTCTAATAAAGCCTGATTGGATCAGCAGCATTGTTGATTTTTTGTCAACCAATCAGGCTTTAATAAAAAGAGACGGAAGTGACCATATATTATCTGCCTCTCACTCTACTCGTGCAGTTACCCCTTCCACTGTCATTAGCAGTGTCCATTCCATAGACATAGTATATCTAGACCGAGCGTTTGCCTTTATTTAAGGAGTGGGGGTAAAGGTGCACGTATTCTATGGGTCTGTTCTTTATAGCTGAACTGGCTGCACTAGTTCAAAGCTTATCTTTCTCCTTCCAATGGGGAGAGAAAAAGATAAACTCTGAACTAGTGCCTTATATGTCGATGTCTAAACTAGAGAGAAGCCTGAGAGGAGTCACGCCCACGCCACCGTTTTTCATAAGACGGCTTTTCTAATTGGTACAGTAGCGTCAACTAGATCCATTTTAGAACTGGCGGGACTACATGGCCAGATTCACTTTTCTGTGCCACGGTAAAATAACCGGTTGGTGCATGTACGTGCTAGATCCATATAATTGTGGATCAAAATTGCGGAGAAATATTATGGATTTATTAATGTTTTATTAATTGCGCATGATGTTTTGCCATTCTAGTATATACTACGGACAGCGATAATAAGATAAATTTGAAAATTATATAAAATATTTTTTTCCTTATCTAAGTAAAAATTATCCAAATTATATCGTGTTTTTGATGTCATTTTAATTAAAAATCTCATTAATCCATTAAAATTATTTTCAAAAAATTACTTTCTAAAGTAAAACAAATGTTTTAGTTTTTATTACATAAGATTTTTAAATCTCTTAAATCTCCGATGTCATCAAAAGCGAGAGCGAGAACGAGTAAAGAGCAAGCGAGTGATTTTTATTATAGTTAAATATGTAATCAAAATTTTTATTATTAGTTTAGTTAAAAATTATTCGATTTATGTCGTGTTTGATATTTTAATCGCAAAAACCTCATTAACTCATTAAAATTATTCACAAACCGATAAAATACAAGCAACAATCTCTCTTAAAATAAGAATCGGAGTGACAGAAATCTACATTATAAATTATCGTTTTGTTGCAAAAAGAATAATAATTATTTTTTTATCAAGTACGTAGAGTAAAGATATTTTGTCTCATGCTTTATCGTTTGACTTTTCGAAGATTTAAATATGATTCGAATTGAGAACGCGCAATAAAATAGTCGAATCGCAGGTATGAGTAATTAACATAACGATAAGCTCTGTAATATACATATATATTATATATTAATCGTTTACTAAATAATTGATCTATAATTTAAAATATTTATATAATTTAATATTCCGCGTGTATATATACGTCATAATATGCAAAATAATTTTGGCTACGAATTGTCAATAACATGGTATGCGGCCTTGGCAACGTAAACAATAGCGCGCTATTGTTTACGTGTTACGGCCTTGTTATTATTCGCACGACGACACTTGAACAGTGATATAGTAGTTCGAGACGCTCCGTCAAATTCTTTTTCTAAACGCGA